CCCCCGAAAATAAGACCTCCCCGATAATAAGGCCACCCCGGAATATAAGGCCCCGAAGCTCCAGGAAAAATAAGACCTCCCCTGAAAATAAGACCTAGCGCATCTTTGGGAGCAAAAATTAATATAAGACACTGTCTTATTTTCGGGGAAACACGGTATTAGTCAGACAATTTTTTTAAAAATGTGTTTAGTGCTTTTCAAATTTTAATTTTATCAGCCGGAGGAGATCAGCAATTTGGTCTCTAGTCACACTTATACACTAAATTGCTGAATAAGAATTATCAGATTTTGAACACTTTATTGCTAAGGTCACTAATGAAGCTTTCCCTACAGCGTGCTTCTGAAATGATCTGGTAACAAAGGGTCGCATACATGTATTCACTTTGCATTAATGTCAATGAAAGCTTGTTTAAAAATACAAGTATAAGAGGTTGCTAAGCAGTTAAAGATATACCTGCAATGATTTTTGTAATTCTAAATGCTGTGTGTTTTCAGACATGTTTATCTGCAAAATAAAACTCCCATCATAATGAATGGATGGGTGACAGAGAGGAACTGAAGGGAAGAGAGACTGACACTTGTTAAAGCAGGGTTCAAGTTGGTGCTTAGCATGCCTCTCTGCACATGAAGTCAGTGGAGCTCTGCTCATTTACACAAGCGGGGAATATAGCCTTGAAAGCTTAAAAAACCCTGCAGCTTTGCTATGGTAATATTTAAAACTTCATTGAGATATATTTTAAGAAAAGTAAATTTGGTGATAAAGTGGAAACACGGTAGTGCCATAAATGATTACTTTTAAGCAGACCTATCAACTGTCCTCACCTGCACAGTTATCTCTAAATGCAAGTAAAAAAAAGTCTGCAAGTGTATATGTACTTATTGGGAAGAACATGTAAGGGTTCAGAAGCATTATCATTCTGCTCATATTCACCCCTGCTCATTGTGGTACAGTATCTTGGCTGTACACTTGGCTACATTGGGAGAGTTCTGGTTTCAAAGTTACCTTTATATCTGTGTTCTCTTTGATTTTTTCCCCGTCACTATTTTTGTTTTTTATCTTCTGCTATAATAGTTTTGCTAATATAAAAGTGATGTCACAATCCTGTACTTATAGTACAACCAAAATACCAACTCAGAGGGAGTCTAACTGTTACCCGTGGTTTTCAGAATCCCCAACAGGGGCAACTTAACTATTTCACTCCAGGCGTTGTAAGGAATAAATCAACAGGAACTCAGCACTTCCATCAGATAAAGGAGTAATGCAGTGTAAGCATGCTCTTGTCTAAAACTGCAGTTTTTTATTAGATTTAAGCACACACAAACATAAACAATAGGTTTAGAACATTCCTAACATCTGGAATGGCATTGAGTAATTAACAGCAGATTCGCAGTGGCCATTTGCTTACCCACTGCGGAGAAAGGGGTCAGGAAAACATCTCTCAAGATGGCTTTAGAGGTCTGCTCCAAAGTACACTCTATTAGCTAATCTTTTATAGCTAAGTTCTACAAAACACATAGGTCATAATGACCCTATTGTATCATCACTTTTCTAACTTTCAATAAACTTTTAACATCAGAGATATCTAGACTCAAGGTTTTCCAACCACCAAGGTTTTTCAGTCTAAGTTGTTTACTTGTTTGTCCCCTCCTCCCATTCTGATTAGCAGAGACAGTAGCTAGTTTTGACCTTGCTTCTGAAAGCCTGTCTCCAAATTAACCCTTAACTATGTGGTGTTCTATTTCATTACTTCAGGATGGCTGAATGGACACAATACGGTTGCAATTCGTTTGATCACATTCTCGGATATACACACTGCTCAAATCCAGGGCAACATAACCTAATCAGGGACTGCAGGATCAGGCCCTTAGTTGCTCCTCTTTTAAACATGTTTCATGTAATTGCAGAAATTAAATGAAAAACAAACTCTATATTAATAAGCAATAAGATTTAATGGGGGTTTCATACTTAGAAATGTTGGCTTCTAAACAGCGCACTTGACATTTTGAGTTCTCACCTGCACAAACCTGCATAAAATGGGTGGTGGTTGGAGAAATATTTCCATGATTTGGAAACTGTAGAAAATGCTAGAATTCACTCCTTCTGGGGCTTGACATGGATTTGCAGACCACGGCTACCATGGAGATCCCAATGATGGATGGGGAGCCACTTCCCTATGCACTGGATCTTGGGCAATTCAGCTGGAAGATTTGCCACTTTATTTAGCTTACAGGTCCCTTACTGCCCTTTAGCAGTATGGACTGCATGTGACCATGTTACCATTGGCTCCTTCCCCCATAGTGGTAAATAATTTGCTGAGAATATGGAAACTACAGAAGAGCCATTAATGCTGAACCTAGCACCATCAGTACTTGCTGGAATTTCAACAGGATATTCTGTAGGCGTGTTAGGGGATCAGTAACTTGTAGAGCAGCTGCCACCTGGGTCATCTAGCTCTGCCTGGTATTCCCTCCAAACACCTATGGTGTTCCAGTCACTCAGTGTTTGCTTGTATGGTCATCAGTAGTCTTGGGAGGAGAGATGTTTCCTTAGGTTCTGATTCCCCCATTCCATTGTCTGGAAGTTTGACTGGTTCTTGTCCTGCTTTTATCCTTTCTACATGTTGGAGAGGAAGGCAGGAACTACTTATGACTACCTGTGCGCTCTACTTGTGCCTCATTCTATTATAAAATTTGACCTATTAACAAAGAGAATTTGCATAAACTACCACTAACAGGTAGGCCAGGCAACTGCAGTGTCTGTGGGCTAGGATAGCTGTTGGTTTCCACCTCCTATGTAGGGTTTGTGTACCACTAGATCTGTGTAAACGTGTAGTGCTCTCCCCCACTTCCTGGTAAATCCTGGCAGAATTGGGGTTGAGGGATGGGCGCCCATAGGGGATAGTATTGCCATTTAAAGTATGGAACACAATCCCCCAAGCATTTCCATACCACATTACACATCATCGGTTTTGCACCTGAGCCATATTGAGAGGGAGAGCCACAGGGTGCCAGGAAGATGTAGTGAGTGTGCACACCCGTGGGGATAATCATAGCCTCCGAGATCCACAGGTTCTGGGTGCTAACTCCCCTGCCTGTACTTTGAAAAGGGGGAGGAAGCTCCCTCTCCGTGACAGAATAAACTGCTGGAAACTCCACAAGGGGAACTATAGTCTAGAATATATCTTTTTTTAAAAATGCTAATTGTTAAGTTATAAAAGATAGCAATTAACACAAAACCATTCTCATCCATAGCAGGCCAATGCTTGTAAACAAAAGTATACATGAAATCCCACATTCACTTCTCATAACAAGACTTCATACAGCTTCCCTCCTCCTTGTCTCCCTCTAATGGATGTTTCCATGGGTTGTGTTTTTATGTGATACACAATAAGTAAATATATTTGCTCATACCTGAGCAGGAGCCACATTCTGCCTACTTAAGATCTAGGGATGATAAATGCTATATAACAACCAAGTGTTATTACCATTTGCTTTCTTACCGCTCACATGAGTAAAGAGAGTGGATTTAATGATAATCTTGATGCATCAAGTTCCACCAGCACTTTAAAGAAATTCTAAAAATAAAAACAAAACAAAACTGAAAACCCTCATGCCATTGAAGTTGAATTCAGATTTTGCAATCATTCATACTTTTCTTAACCATATGTATTGATTACAAAGACCATTTTTGTTTTAAAAGCTATACACGACAGTGTGTAAAATATTATTTAGCATAATCATTCTCCCAAGTGCTCGCTAGGATCTCCTTTCTACTCACCCATTCCATAAAATGCTCTAACTGTGGCAAATGTCTCTCCAGGCAGGAGGGATGGAAACAGCTTCCACTTAAGTACATTTTTGCTACTGTTCAGTTGATCAAAGAGAGCCCTGAGAAGAAGAGGTGAGAGGTCCACGTGGTTCCTTGGGGATTTACAAAGTGCATAAGCGTGATAGACTCCTGAGTTCCATGGATTTCAATGGGAGTTAGACACTTAACCTGCTTAGGTACTTTTGACAATCCCACTGGATGTCTAGCTGCTTCTTTTTAGGGACCTAAAACTCTTTAAAAATCTGGTCCTTGGTCCTTGCCAGTCTGAGGAGTAAGGGACTGAATTTTAGACCAGAACTTACATTTTGGGCCAAGTCTTCAGCCTGTGAAAATTGACATAGCTCCAATGATTTGAATGGAACTACATTGATTTACACCAGCTGAGGATCTGGTCCTTTACTTTTTAAAGGAAAAGATGTCTGAGGTATCCCCTCACACAACTCTCATGTAGTATGGGGTCTATTACTTGTCCCCAGTGGTGGTTGCCCCTGTAATGCAGGTAATGCAGTGTACCTCACCTCTGCTTTTTAAGAACAGTTCCATGATAAATCTGCTATTAAATAAAAATATGTTATGTAATTTAAATCAGAAATAAAATATCAACCTCCCAAACTTTCAGCAGTAGTCAGTTTTTTTTAACCAAAGGAAAGTATAACTTTCATCTATTTATAAATCTATTAATCTATTTATAATAAATCATTTTAAGTGGTTTAAATAAGTAATTTTTTAGCTGATTCCTTGCTTTTACTAATGTTACATCTTGGTTACAGTGTCTGTGGTTGCAGTTAGATTCAGGGAAAACTGAGGGCTTATTTGTTAGTTCCCAGAATCACGTAGAAGCAATAACATTGGCTCTCATGACTTTTAGATCTTGACTAATTTCATACCTAGTGGGAACCACAGTTTTACGTTTCCCTATATTTGCAATCCAACAAAGGTTACTTTTTACCATTTCAAAAGCATTGCAAAACTGCTTTCCCCTGCCGCTTACAGTATCTGGTAAACTAGATTACTGCCATTCCTTATCTATAGTTCGTTCAGGAGCTGCTATCTCAAGGGTTATTTGTACAAAATTGAACTGCCTGTTTGATTACAAGTAACGGGTCCATATGATTGCCACTTTGCATTACCTTTTATGGTGTAAGTCCTTGAATGGCTTCACTTTAGTGAATTATTGTACCCTTTCATTCCTTAAGATAGTCTAAAACTAAACTATGATTTTAATGTTTAAAACTAAAGATATGATTTTAAGCATATGGCCTTTTAAAATTATTTTATGTTTGCCAAAGCTGAGCTATAAAAAATGTTAAAAACTTATTTATATACCAAAGCCTTCCATCCTAATTTAGGCCAATTCAAAGCACACTGAAGTAAATGGGAATTTTCCCATTAGTTTCAATGGGCTTTGGATAAAAACCCTTGGTAGTATTTTTGTTGTTGCTGCAAATTTGAGATGAATCCTTATTTGAGGAAATGGATATGGGAAAAGGGCCTGATCCTGCAACCTCTCTGCACACAGAATGTTGAAGTCAACAAGGCTTGGTGAATTGAGCCCTTCAGTTTTATTTTAGAGAGAACTAGAGAAGGAAGTTCACCAGAGGCCTCATCCAGAGCCTACTAAAGTCAAAAGGCATACTCATGGACTCCTTACTGACACAAAACTCCTGTTGCCTTCAAGTGCAGTATCAGGCGCCAATATTTATTTTGCTTAAATATACTTTTTTATTAGTGTCATTCATTTTCTCACTTAACTGGGACTAATATGCACAAAAATGGCTTTAAGAGAACGTTAAAGATAAATACACAAAAGCATGAAAATTCAGTTATAGACATAGCCTCCAGTTCTTGCATACAATGAACATAGTAGGTTAACATTTAAGATGGCACCCTGCTGTGTCTAGCTACTGGAGGTTTAATCCTTAACTGTGAAATGTGTGGCTTTTGTATGTTTGTCTGACATCCTTAATTTTTTCTTTATTGTTGTTGTTTGTGTTATGAATTTCCTTAAAAATGTTTTATTGTTGGTTGATAAGCATTGCACTATGATAAGTATATATATATATATATATGCTCAGATAATGAGTGTGAACACATGTCATCTCAAATAATTATATAATAAATTCCATATTAAATATGGGGAAACTAAGCACAATAAACAATGTATAAGGTTTATTATTTGTACAGCTTAATTATTTTTTCTAATAATGTGCCGACATTGATTAGGCTACTTCATGGTATATCAGACAAATTAACATTTTGAGTCATAGAACTGCAACTATCTTAATAATCTTTTTTACATTGTTAGAACACTAAAATATGAATGAATACTCAAAATTTGAGAAGTTAAATGCTGGCTTATGATATTAGTTTAGTATAAACGTCTGAAAATATGAGTTCATAATAGCAATTCTTTGAATTTAGATAGTGGTTTTCATTTGAGGATCTCAAAGCCCTTTAACCTTTAATGAAAATGCTAACATATCATTGTAGTTGGGTGGTCAGATCCTCAGCTGATGTAAATTGTCATAGCTACAATGGAGTTATGCTGAGTTATGCCAGTTAAGGCTCTTACTCATAATGTTTATGAAAAATGCAAGGTGAAATCTGGCCCCTCTGAAGTCACTAGGAGTTTTATCATTGACTTAGTGGAGCTGGGTATTTACCTACAATCTGTAGCCATCCATTCCTATAAAGACTATACAATCTTACGGAACTTATTCTTCTCTCACTGATACCTATTTACACTTGTATAACTCCTTTTATTTTAATAGAGTCTCCAGATTTTGTATTATTATATCTGAAATACTTCAGCAACTGTTTAACTGGGACTCGACTTTTCCTGTTTGCAATACAGTTCTGAGCTATGAAGATTATAAATTATGGGGTAATCATATTAATTGTATCTCTAGTTCTTCAATGAGTGAAACTTAATATAATCATGTTTTCAGCAGTTTCTTTTTGATGATATGCTTAGGAGACAGTAATATTTTTTTCCTAGTCAATCATAGCTGTCCTGATGATCAGTTTAAGTGCCAGAATAACCGCTGCATCCCCAAGAGGTGGCTTTGCGATGGAGCTAATGATTGTGGCAATAATGAAGATGAATCAAATGAAACCTGTGCAGGTAAAAACTTTACTTGGAGGTGTAAGTAACTTTTATCTAAATTCCAATTCAATAAAAATTCATGCCTGTACTCAGCACTGAGCTGAACCAGCCTACTGTTGATGATCTGATTACTGCAGTTTTAAATGAATTCAGATTTTGATGTCACCAGGGCTAGAATGTAAATTATATTTTACTTAATCCCTGTGCTTGACTCTGCTTTCCAAAGTAATTTGGCACTTAATCTATCCATATGGGTTGACTGTCAATGCAGTACTTGGATGCAAACTTGTCCCTGCTAAATCTTTCTTGGCAGTTGGAATGTAGTTTATTATCATACTGTGATGTAAGTCATCTGACAAGTAAGCATTTTGTTCTTGTTGTTTTTTACCTTGACAAATATAATTTTACTGTTTCCCCTGAACTCATCTGCAAATAGTTTAGTATTTGTTATATTATTTACGTATGGGGTTTTATAAGGAAGTCCCATTTGACCTTGTCTATTTATATTTCCATATCTGTCCCATTACAATAAATCTAGGAGTCCTAAACCACTCCATTCTTGCACAGAAACATACAGTCTTTAGTACAGATCAGTAGACAGTTCTAGAGAGGTCATTAGTAGTCTGATAAATGTTGAAAAATAGGCAGCAAACTTACTATTCTTTTTAAGTACTGAGTGAAAGAAAGAGATTGACAGCATGTATACACATATACTGAATCCATATTATCTGACTTAAAATGTCCTAAAACCAAACTGTGTTGATGTTTTACAGAAACATCTCTCCTTTCATATTTTGTTTAAAAATCTCTTTCGCTACACTATATTTCATTTATTTTCTGATTCTGTATGTTGGCTGTTTCAAAGAACAAGAGGAAAAATGTTCACTTATAGCAGCAAAGTAAGAAATCAATGGCTTTTATCTAGTGGGGTTTCCAATACATTACTTGATTTTTAAGTTGGGGAGTGCAAATTGGCACATTTTAGAGAGCCGTTTCAGTTGAAACTCTAAAGGAAGCCTGTCACACAAATCATAATGTGCATTCTAATAATCTAGGTAAAAAAGATGGGAATTAGAGAACTACATTCTTCACCCCATAGTACAGAGAAATATGCATTTTAATTACTTTTAATTGTTCATAGCCCAAGTGCAGTTTAGGCCAGATCCTATAAAAGTCTTGCTCTGTTTACGTGAGTACAAGGGTCTATTGTGTAAGGGTTATTTATTTGAACAGGCTTTGTGGGATGAGATTCTTATTTGTTCTTCTCTCTGCAGTCCACACCACCTATTGGCAATGACACAAACAGCTATATTTTGTGAGCAAAAATAGAGGATTAAATGTATATAGTAATGATGGTCTGTAGTTGGATCCTGCCTGACTAGTAACTAGTACATAATTTATGTATGTGACCAGTAACGAAAATTTTAGGGGCTGATTACATAGTTGGAGTCATATAGGTGGTGAGTTGTTTCCATTTGAAATAGATACATTTCTTTGAGAAACCTTTTACAAAGCTTCATGTCAGTAAATATACCAAGAGGCCTCCTAAAACTGAAGTTTTTTTAAAAAGGTTTTAAAGTTACAATGTATAATGTTATACAGTCTTTGCTTGTCTGATATTTGTATGTTATTGATTAGCTGGATCAGTACAGTTGTTCTTCAAGGTTTATAGCCAGTAATATGAAAATAAAATATTATTTATAATTACTATGTCCAGTAGTTTGATAATCTTTCCATGGCTAGATTGCCTCTTCACTGTAGGGGCCATGCAAATGTTACAAAGCTCACCTAGTTGTAGAGGAAGGATCTGAGGGGCCGTTGAGTGTAACAGGGACAATGTATCCCAATTCTGCAGATCCAGGGGTTATAGAGGGAGGGGCAACCCTGGATTTGTGGAGGCTGAAGCTATCCTGTGTACATAGGATGACTGTCCTTTTGTGCAGCTTAGCTTAGTTCTCTTTTCCTACCCTCCTCCAACATGCAGTGGAGCTCCAGCAGGAGCTTGCTGCAGTGTGCTGAGTCCCCCTATAGCTGTTCAGCTGCAGCTGTTGTGGAAACTGTGATGGAGTTTACACACCCAATAACCGAGAGCAAATTGCGGAGCAATACTGGGTTAAGGAGGCGCACCCCCTTCAGCACATGCAGGGCTTTAGGTGAAGAGACAGTTTGAAAGGGCACTGGTAGGCCAGGGGAAGGTACTACAGTCTGCACGAGGAAGTGAGGTTGAAGCCTATGGGCAAAGTGACTGCTGTGCAGGTAAGACCACTCTGGGAGAAGTGATCCAAATCCCCCCTCCGCTTTGGAGGTGGGAACCCACAAAAGCCTCTGAACCATACCCCTTACCCCAGGGAAATTAAACTCCTCTAGTAAGACTATGACCACACCCCAAAGAGAGAAGCTCCAGCCTGGTTGGAGAAGACCCAGAGGAGAGTTTAACTTGGGGTAGACCAACAGATCATCTGAAGACTGCAACATCCAGGGTTGGGACCCTGTGGAGAAGGAGGGCCTCAGTCCCCCTATCTTGCTCCCCCCACTCCACTGTTGCGACAGAGCCCAGAAGAGAGAAGAGGAAACACATAGGAGGGGCTGAGGCTCATGATATATGACCCTGCAGGGTCCCACTCTAGAAAAGAGAGACTGAAAAGAACTGTGGAGCCATTGCCTGACCACTATGCCAGCTGGCTTTGAGACTGACCCACCATAGGGACACAACATGGGTTAATGCTGGTTCAAATGATATTGACTCATTCCTGGTTTTCCAGACTGAAATCTGGGGTTTGAGAAGGGGATGGTGCCAAGAAAAAGCGGGTTGCTCTGAGCTGCATCCCCAGAATCCCACAGTGGAACTGTGGAGTACTAGCAAAAGGCCTTCCATGGTGTACTGGGGCATGCGTTGTGCGTCCGTGAGAGAGAGAGAGAGAGAGCAAGCTGAGGATAGATGCTCCATCCAATAAGGAGCTAATACATTCCTCTTCTCAATAGCTGGCATGAGGACCCATCCTGTCTTATTCTCTTCCGGTTCTGCCAAAGCCCCACACCAATGAATTTAGCTGGGCATTTGCTCACGATAATTTTGAAAGGGTAAACTCTTTGGGAACAAAGTTGTATGTTTTTATGAAACACTGCTGAACATGCCTACTCTGATGGAAAGATTTCTATATGCGGAAAGTGTGGAGAAGCTCTAAAAAAGGAGAGTCTGACTCCTGCTGTTAAGTATTATATATGGATGAATAGTGCTTTAGTAAGTGTGAAGTATTAGAGTCATCTTAGCTGGTGTAAATTGGTTTAACTCCATTAAAGGCAGGAGCTGTGCTCATTTACACCAGCTGAGTATGTGTCATTATTTTATTTTATTTTATTTATTATTCACTAATAATGAATAATCGTCTCCATCAACTGCTCCAAATAAAGTGGCAGGACAAGATCAGAAGCCAGGATATTCGAAGACAAATCCAGCAATTATCTCCATCATCATTGGTTTGTTTTCGCAGAATTTTTGGTATCATAACAATGGCAGACCAACAAATTCTGAAGTGTGTGTACCAAGAAATGCTGGTACGTGGCTGGCAATCACATGGGTGCCAAAAGCTTTGGTGGCACAATAACATTGCCAGTGATGGATATAAACTGAATATACAATCAGACTACCTTAAGCATCCTGTCAGAGACTGTTCTGGGTGGCACTCGATTTACAAGGAAGCCACATCTTTTTGGGGATTTGCCATGATGGTGATGATGAGTGTTATGATCATCATCGTCACAGTGTAGGACTGTATTTATTCCAGAAGATTTTGGTGAGCTATTTTTTTTACTGATGGCATAGTTGACAATGTATAAAGCAATAATAACATCAAAAATAATCCCATCAGGGAGGAAACCTGGAAGAGGATTATTTTTCATCATGACAACAACCTAAAGCACACATCAAAATGTGTACAAATCTTCTTGAAGCAATAAAGATCAAGTGTTTAGTACTTTGCCCATCATAGTCACTTGAACTGAATTTAAAAGAAAAAAAAATCATAAGGAGTTTTTTCATTGTACATAAGCTAAATTAACAGCAACAAGGAGCATCTGAAGTAATCTAATATTGTGTGCATCTGGAAGAAGCCTGTATTTACAAGAAATATATATGTGTATACACACACCATAGGCCAAATTCATCCCTGCCATAACTCCGCTGAGTTTAATATCATTATGCCGGAAATGAATTAGCTCCAGTGTTCCCAAAAGACACTTCAGTGTATTTTTTTAACGGCAAGTGGTGTGTAAAAATAATGAACTGGTTTACTATAATGAAATCCCATTATTCCCTTTGTCTTCATTGTCAATATGTGGCTATACACGTTGGTGGATGACAGATGTCAGGTGAACAATTACATGATTTCTTTACAAACCAGATTAAACCATTAATTTAATTCTTAAAGTGGAAAGAAAACCATACTACACAGAACTAATGAAATATAGCAAACAACTGTCCGCACATTTGATAGGGAGAAGGGATAATCTGTAATGTGAACCAGATCACCTAATTCTGAATTAAATTTATTTAAGTACTAATCACTGCTCTGAATATTTAGGTTTGGATTTTCAAAGGAGACTGGGGAAATTAAGTACCCAACTTCCTCTGGAATTCAGTTGGATTTGGATGCCTAACTTCTTTTGCCTTCTTTGAGAATGCCAGCCTTAATCCTACTTTGGCGTTTTCAGATTTTTGATTATTTTGACTACGACATTAATATTGGTTTAACATTTAATTTCCTGTAATTGCATAATTTTGTGAAACCTCACAAATTTCCGACCTACTGGGAAATCCATTATGAATTATTGAATGTAATGATAAGGGTACAGTACTGCAGGTACCTTCAATTTCCACTGAGAGCAAAGGAGATGAGGATAGCACTCAGTCAAGGGCAAAGCAAAAACCATCTAGACCTCCACCTGCTAAGTTAGTTCTAAGGAAAGCCATGGACTGAATGATCTAACAGATTGTACTCTATCTCTTGCTTTTTAAGATTTTAAGATTTTGCGTGCCTTTGTCATTGCAGCAAGAACATGTCAAGTTGATCAGTTTTCTTGTGGGAATGGACGTTGTATTCCAAAATCGTGGTTGTGTGATAGGGAGGATGACTGTGGTGATGAAACAGATGAAATGGCATCATGTGGTAAGTTACTAATTATTTACCCTACATAAATTGGCCATTAAAAACATCAAGTGAAGATTTAAAGTCTGGTATAAAAAGAGAAATAAGAGGATTTTAAAGGATATTTTGGCTTTTTATGTAAGTAGGTAAGTAGATATAGTAGGTTTTTAAATTTTGATTGAACCAATAAATAATTACTGTATTTCTGCCCTAAAAACTTTATTTTATTTATTTTGATTTAGAAGCTCATTTCCACTACCAAGCAGCAACTCATAATCAAATATTGTCACCCCCCACAGTTTGGCCTATATCTCAACCCCATATCTCTCTTTGAAGGGCAAGTGAAATAAATAGGCCCTTCAGCATACCCTGAATGTTATGCTATATTCATTTAGATTAAACATATGAACCCAAAGAGACAAACGTGTTAACATAATGCTGTCCAATTTTAAACAAGGGTCAGGGTTTGGTATACAGAGACCTCAGCCTGTTTCCTACTAGGGCAATCACACCATTAAAGATTCTTTGGACCTTCATGAAAGATACAAAAAAAAAAAAGAAAAAAAAAAGAAAAACAGTTAAAGCATTCAAAATGTAAAGTATTAGATTTTAACAACATCCCAGAAGGGGAAAAACAGAACAAAACAAAAACTTGTCTGATTGTCTGGCAGTTTCTGAGAAGGTATTAAAGATGGTAAAAACTGTTCTTTTGAGGAAAAGAGTAGCTGAGAGGGGCTGGTTGCTGTTGTTGGTAAAACCTGTTTGCTAGAAGACAAAAGAAAACTAACACATACAAAAGGGGAGAGAAAAGAATAGCAAAGAGAAAATGCAGTTTCTGTCTCTGGCATTCACTCTCACTTGCAACCTCACTGCTGGAAGAACAGTCACAGCATTCAGTCTTATCAGCCACTCCAAGACCTGATAAATTTGTAACAGTATGGGCTGTTTTAGGGCACTGGTTTAGCTGCCTGTTTCTGGTCACAGGCTAACAGCAGCGTAGCAAGATATACAGTCTTGGACAACTAAGCCAGACTCTTAGTAGACAGAAGGAAGAAAGAGAGAGAGAGAGAGAGAGAGGAAAGAAAAGACATAATGTAGGGAAGGAAAAGGACACATGGGGGGTGAGGATGAGAAAATCTCACATCCCATGTGATGTTTGAGATTGAGCTGGGAAGATGGTAGTGTCATCTGGGTCCATCTTTCTGGCCTTGTCTGGTCAGGACATCTCTCAGGATTATGAAGAAGTAGGTCCATGGTCCCAGGAGACAATGAGGGTGGCAGCCATGATGGTGGAGCTTGCTCCTTCCCTTTCTCTCATCTTTCAGTCAGCCATTATTATGGTTGCCAACTTGCCCCCCAAAGCCTCTTTTTCAGAACCCCAAAAGGGGAGCGATGGGCAGAAAAGCCTATCCTTTCCTTATTTTGTTCACCAATTAGGCCTAATTTTCAATACACCAATTTTGGTTCATCGATTTCTGGTTGTATACTGTTCTTCTTTACCAGGCATAATCTTAACATAGTCTTTGAATTATACCAGTAGGCCTCTGTGCTTAGACTAATTCAGCCTTTCTGTCCCGTTTTTGCACCTTTCAGATCAACATTTGTTGTTATAGGTTATTTTGACTTTTTTGATCTTTCGTTCACTTTTTACAGTTGAGCTTCAAATTAGGGTAAATTAGTAAAACTTGAGACTGGGACAGGAGGAGTATCATTGTCTTTGGGGGACTTTACAGAGAACTCTACCTCTCTCAAATACATGAAGAGGGATCTAATATCAGAGCTTCTGCTGATTGTAGCTACGGGGAGAGAGGTGATCTGTCAGGTAGGCTGATCCCAAGCCAGTCAGGGCTTTATTAATCAAAATGAACACCTTAAAATTTAACTGGAAGCTCACAAGTAAGGCTGCATGTCTGTCATGGAGGTCACGGAAGTCACGAATTCCATGACTTTCTGTGACCTCCGTGACTTTTGTAGCAGCCGATGTGTTTGGGCCAGCAGCAGTTTGGATGTAGGAGGGGGCTCGGGGCTGGGTCACGGAGTTGGGCTATGGGGCAATGCTTACCTTGGGGGGGGGGAGGAGGGAGGGAGGCTCCCGGCCAATGGGAGCTGCAGAGCTAGAGCTCGTGGCGGGGGCAGTGCGCAGATCCCCCCTGGCCTTCCCTCCCTCTAGAGGCTGCTTCCGGGGAGCTGTGTAGAGCTGGGTAGGGAGCCTACCAGTCCTTCCAAACCCCCCCGCCCCAGCACCCACGGGATCCCAGGCCACCCCCCAGCACCCGCAGCCCCCGGCCCAAGTTTTACTTAGGGGTATATAGTACAAGTAATGGACAGGTCACGGGCCGTGAATTTTTGTTTACTGCCTGTGACCTGTCCATGACTTTTACTAAAAATACCTGTGACTAAAATGTAGCCTTACTCACAAGTAACTAGTATAGGTCTCAAAGCAGCCATGTCATGCGCTTTCTGCAAGAAGCCCTTTCAAAATGCTTCCTATTCGCTAAATAATAATGATATAATTGCTGACTTGCTAATTTATGTACTGTACTTGAGGAGGATAAGAACTGATAATCTAGTAATGATGAAAAGAAGAAAATGTCTTTGAAGAGAGAATTTGAAAATACTTGTAAGCTATTGACTGCTTCAGAAATTCTAACCATATAAACTTGGAGTGAGAGTTTCTAAAGCACCTAGCAAAGTTAGAAACTGAAATACCATTTACTTTCAATAAGAATCAGACATCAGACTTTGTTAGGCACTTCTGAAAATTCCACCTTTAATCACTATTAAAATATATTAAATGTTTCTTACTTAAAATAAAGCTAAAATAAAAGGAATGTACCTGAGAAAGTGTTATCATTGCAGTGTTATTTTAGGTTTTCTGAAACTTCTCATTGCTCCAAACTTCTCATAGTCATTAGTGTAGTCAGCATTCTGTAGTGTTTTGTCCAGGACTTCTTTTATTTTACACTTTTTTATTAAAAGAGATATAAAACTTTTTATTGCCATTTTTAGGAGCTCTTGTTTTGATTCTTATGGTTTTTTTAGCACAGTTTTATTTTAAGCTTCATGATCCTTTTCTTTTTGGCCCAAAACCTGTATAGGCATTAGTCTAGTAATGATCCTATACTTGCTTTTAGATTTTTTTTTCCAATAAAAAGTTTAAAAGTTTACATGTCACAAGTCTTGACTTAGAACTGCCACAGGTTTCTTTAAAAATAGCTTTTTTATTTGATCACATTGGCATGGTTACAACTTTCATTAGTACTTCTCCTATCATTGTGCTGGCTTTTTCCTTTCACTTTTTATTAAAAATAAGAGGTTTTCTTTTTTGAAAATGGATATATATGTACATATGTACATATAAACTATTAGTTGCCCACTCAAAGAAACTTTACTAGCTTCCTGGCAAATATAATAGGTGCCTGATATACAGTTAAAAGTACAGAATATACATGTAAGTATTATAAATAGCAGTCATATAGTTGTATTCAATTCTATGTGTGTATATGTAAAACACAGAGAGAAAAGTATAGAAAGAAAGAAAGAAATTATCCAAAACAATAGCAAATACCAATATAGTAGTAAAATTTGATCTCAGATTGCCAACAAGCACCAAAAAGTAGAACATATGAGTATAAAGGATCTAACAGCAAAACAGTAGTGGCATGGAGAATGCTATCTTTCCAAAGTCAAGTTGGGATAGATAGGCTTAGCTAACATTTCTTTGCCTAAAGGTCCTGGTAAAGGGCATAGTTTGACAAAGAGTGAGAAGTTTTAACATTATATCTCTGTTATTGTGATGTCCTGTCCCTTTAAATCGTTAGGCATTCTGTGCTCACTCAGGCCTTGTCTACACTACTGGGGTAAGTCAATCTAAGTTACACTACTCCAGCTATGTGAATAATGTAACTGGAGTCGACATAGCTTAGGTTGACTTACTGTGGTGTCTACACTGCGCTGCATCAATGGGAGACACTGTCCTATTGACTTACCTTACTCCTCTTGTTCTGGTGAAGTACCGAAGTTGACCGGAGAGCGCTCTGTGTTTGATTTAGCGGGTCTTCACTAGACCCCTCCTGATTGATCGCAGCAGCATCGATCGCTGGTAAGTGTAGACATGGCCTCATGCAACAGCCTTTTGCTGTTTGGTTTTAGTTTAAGTTTTGCTTCCAGAACAATAAAGTCTCCACAGAAGACAAGCTATGCTTTAAATCAGCTCCTCCTGTGTGTGTTGGGACCAGATATAAAATATTGGCAATGAGGATATTTTATCCTACAAGTGTCTAGTGGTTCCTACTGCCTGAAAAAGAAGAAGAAAAAGTAAGCACATAATACATTTTTTTTTTAAAAAGGAAGAAAAAATTTCACCTGGAAACAGAAGGTGGAAGACTGCTGCTGCATTTTGCTTCAGGTACAGATGGAACCAGCCAGTTAGAGAGGGGGAAGATGGTAATTAAAGACAGAACACAGCAGAAGTTTTCTGCCATTGCTGCCTAGCTGCTGCAGAGACAGAATAGTGAGGGGAGGGCATCCATTTTTGTTCTCAAGCAAGCTAGAGAGAGAAGCAGCTTTAGCCTGCATTGGGGGTCCGCAGCCAGCACAAGGAGCCCAAGTACAACCAAAGGAGAGATTCTGTAGTATAAGCCCACAGCCAGTGGAGGGAGATCAAGTGCAGGTAGTGCTGCACAGTAAAAAAAAAAAAAAAAAAGCGTGGGGGGGAGAGTTTCCCTGTGGAAGTGAAGGCATCTGGGATGGTGAGAAGCCCAGCAGGAGAATGGCAACTTGTGTGGGCAAGGTTGATGAATTTAGCGAAAACTGCAAGTCATGGGTGGTGTACCTCAAACGTTTAGAGCAGTGTTTCCCAAACTTGGGATGCCGCTTGTGTAGGGAAAGCCCCTGGCGGGCTGGGCCAGTTTGTTTACCTGTCACGTCCGCAGGTCCGGCTGATCGCGGCTCCCACTGGCCACGGTTTGCTGCTCCAGGCCAACGGGGGCTGCAGAAAGGGCGACCAGCACATCCCTCAG